TAGTGAAATTCTAAAGAATATTTACTAGAGTTTATATAGAATAACTCTATAGAATGAGTTTACTAATATTCTATAGAACTTTTTCAGCTTGGATTGTTTATTATGTCTATAATAAATGTTTTCAATTTAAGAAGCAGCCGTTATTGTCAGCGCATTTTATAAAAATTGAGTTGTTTTATTATTTCGTATTGCTGCCGTTACTTTCAGCGCTTCCTTAAACAATTATTAAAAATACATCAAACTTTAAAGTATTAATTTCTTTATGCTATATGACTTTTATGCAATTTGTATTAAGGATCGGCCGTTATTTTCAGCGCTTCCTTATAAAATATTGTTAAATTTTTGTTAATTATATTGAGAATATTAAAATTAAATTTAAATATTATATTGTAAATAGAAGTATTAGATTTTATATGCTTCTTCATATATTTTGTTTGAAGGAGCATCCGTTATTTCCAGCGCATCCTTTCAAATTGTCAAAAATGTTATTCATAACTGAAATTTTTTACAAAGGACTATATATTAGTTTTATAAAACTTCTGTATATACTATGTTTTTTGTATATATCTTTCCCTCATCCTTACTTTTATTTTTATTTGTGATTCTTATGTAAGAATCTTTATTTAACATTATTTTTAAATTTTTTTTAGATGTTGCTCTGGATAGAGCAACATATAATTGCCCATGACTGAAAATTGGTGTTGGTAAATATACACCTACTTTTTTAAATGATTGACCTTGTGATTTGTTTATAGTCAATGCAAACCCTAGCCTAACTGGAAATTGTTTTCTAGTCATATTAAATGGTATTTCCTCATTAGAAGGAGATAAAACAATTCGTGGTAAGATTACAATTTTACCTTTCATATTTCCAGTTATTATTTTTCCTGTAATAGAAAAATCATTCATCTCCATTATTTTTAATCTTGTTCCATTACATAAACCTCCTTCTATATTTATGTTTCTTAAAAGTATTACTATTGCTCCGATTTTTAATACTAATTTATAAGGTGGAAGTCCATTTGGAGTTAATGAGTTTAAAAATTCAATTGGTATTACTGTATCTATATCATTTTCGTCTGCAGATGAATCTATACTTAAGTATTCTCTTGATTTACTTTTTATTTTTTCAAGAATATTGTTATTTAATTCGAATACATCATTATTTCTTGGAGCCAAAATAATTTTTTCATGAATGTTATCATCTTCTACATCTATTGTATTGCCATATATTTCTTCAATAATATTATTAGAGAGTAATTCCTTTGGAATATTTATTACATTATTTTCTTTTTCAAATGAATTTGAAAATTTGCCATTTCCTACATTTAGAAGCCATTTTTTAAATTTTTGGTCATTATTTAAAACACGTAAATTTTCTTTTAAAGATAAACATTGGAATTCGGACCATAATTCACTTTTTTTAACACAATTAATAACTGTTAAGGATCTATTGCCATGTTTGACAATTGGTAAAGTTTGCCTAAAATCTCCTGCAGTTATAATAACTTTATTTCCAAAAACTTTGTCTACTTTTGTGATATCTCTAAATAATCTATCGGCAGCCTCAAATGCATGTTTTGAAGTCATTGTTATTTCATCCCAGATAATTATTTCACATGATTTTATTTTATTTCCATGAATAGAATTTGCATTTATATTGCAAGTGGTTTGATCTGATATTATTAATGGTAATTTAAATGTCGTATGAACTGTTTTGCCTCCTTCTAATAAATTTGCAGCTATTCCTGTCCATGCTACTGGAAGTACAGATATGTTGTTAATATTAAGAAATTCTATTAATGTATTAAGTAAATAACTTTTCCCAGTACCACCTGGACCGTCAATAAAATAACATTTTTTTTGTCTTATTATTAACGGCGTTGATAATAATATTAAAATTTTCTCTCTGAGTTTTTGTTAATGTATTCAATTTTGAAACATTGTTATTATTCGATATTGTTTTGTTTGCAGAATGACTTTCTACATTCGTTAACTTATTTTCATCAGAATATGACAGTTCAATATGAGGCAAATTAAAGTCAGTTAAGGTTAAACCATTGTTAATCAGAATGCTATTAATTATTTTTAATGCCCAAAATTCTCCAATTTTAGACTCTAGTTTAGTATGATAAAAATACAATTTATATTTGTCATATAATTCTCGTGCATTAATTGGGTTGTGATGCACACAAATATATGCAAAAAGTTCACATATTGCTTTTGGAAATGCAGTTTGACAAACTTCATTCAAACATTTATCCCATTCATTATCTACTGTAATTAATTGTCCTGCTTTTGCAGCTTCAAGAAATGTAGGATATTCTACGTTATTAAACGTTCTTAAATCTTCAAAAGATGTTGCACCTTTAACATGCAATAATAATAGACGCAAAAAGTATTTTTCACGTTGACGTGGATTTACCAAGTACATTCTACTGATCACAGTTTTATATATCGATTTTCGGTTGGTCCATATTTTTTTTGAATTATTGTACAC